TATATATTTATTTTCTTTCCAAATCCTTTACATACCAGGCATGGGCCTATGCTGATCACTTTCTGGGTGGCAAGTTATATAAACATCTTCTTGATGGCTGCAGTCATGTTTTCCCCAGTCTTGCTTGGTGCACTGTGTGAGAGTGGACTCTTTGCCTGTGCAAACCACATCATCCAACCAGATGTTTCCAGCAGTCCCTTCAAAACCATTCTCCAATGAGATCTTTCCATACCTAAAATGAATAAATGAACAGAATTTGTTTTGTAAATTACTGCCATCTAGCGGTCAACTTGAGAAGCACCCATCGTCTTACTTTACAGCACAGATCTGTTGGCTCAGCTACTAGAGCCAGTATTGCTAATAATAACACTTACTATTGTATATAATACACATACACTTAGGATTCATCCTATAAAGTCAGATAAAGAATGTTTTCACCAGTAGAATAAGTGTGGGAGATCACCGATAGCCAGTCTAGTCACTGAGTGCATACATTGTACTTAAATTGACACCAAAATCAGGAATTAAACCTTCAGAAATGCACTAACGTTTTACAAAAATGTAGCTTATTTGTGTATCACTCGGTTGTAGATCCTCAAATCATCTCTGAATTGGTGCTGACACTGTCTTTCCTTCTGGAGGGGGGCTACTTTTGTTCCCCATGGTCCCTGTGTGTGTTGTAAAGAAGCCACCTCTCCAAGCTCACTCCTGTGATGGACCACAATCTCAGTACAAATTAGTAAACTAAAAGTGAGATTGTAGTCCATCACAGAAGAGAGCTTGGAGCGGTGGCTACTTTACAACACACACAGGGACCATGGGGAACAAAATTAGTCACCCTCCAGAAGGAAGGGCAGTGTCAGCACCAATTGAGAGATGATTTGAGGCTCTACAGCCAAGTGATACACAATTAAGCTACAGTTTCATTATTAGTAAGGGTACTTGAATGCATTTTTAAGATTTAATTCCTGAGTTTAGTGTCACTTTAAAGTGTATGTCAAGGCACAAAAAAATATTTCATACATCTCCGCAATACATGCATGTTTCCCCATGTTTTATCCCTTTAAACACCCTGCAGGTACAGAAAAATAACTGTCATTGTGCCAGAAATATAGTGTGCTCCTACCTTTTCCTATGACATGACAACACACTGATGGGGAATTTTTTTAAACTGGAGCAGCAAAATCTAGAGCAGCTGTGCATGGCAACCAACTGGCTTCCCTCTTTCATTTTTAAATCTTAACTGACCAAACTGAAGAGAGAAGCTGATTGGTTGCCATGCACAACTGCTTCATCTTTTGTATGCTCCAGTTTTTATAAACTCCCCCAACTGTATTTTTGAAAAAATTGTAAATTTAGCAGACCAAAATTGAGCAAATAAAAGAAGCTCATTGGTGGGGGGTTACATTAAATCTAAAGCTGAACTCTGGGCATTTAAAAATAATTAATTTTGCCTACTCCCTCCTCGACTGATGAAGAATCTAGTGCTCATTTTTTCTTGGGAAAAGGTAAATCATGTTCCCACGACAGATGGCAGTCTGGCCTTTTGCTTTCCAGCATGAGAATGTGGATCAGCACTCCTGCCAGTGGCCACATCCCATACTGATGGCATAGCCACTGATCCTGCACTGATTAAAGTAAAGGCACAATGACATTGGTGAGAGAGGCTGGTCAGAGATAAGCAAGAAGAACAGCTTTGGAAAACTGGTTGTCACAACCAGACTGGCACAAAATAGCATAGTTACGACGTGAATTATGGTATGCTGACCCATCCCCTAGAAAAAAAACACTAGATTCTAAATCAATGCAGGGGGAGGAATTTTGGATATTTCTTAAGTCTCCAGCGTTAGACTTTAAGACATTAAGTTTCCTAGACACAAGGCTACTGTGTTACTACTTCATTAGAAAGCAGGAAAGTCATGAATGTGCCTCTTTAAAAAGAAAACAAATGCACATATGTATACATTCAGGCCTCCCTTTAAAGTTATAGAATAAAAAGACAAGATACAAAGGCAAGCAGCAGACACAACACAGAAGCCTTCAAGTGTGGGCTCCATATGTATGAATGCAAGCCATGAAAGTATCATTGTTCAAGATGAATACACAAGGGTACCATCGTGGGTGATGTAGTCCTCTAAAACATGTGTTGAAAGACCTTAAAACCTCAAGGGTCTGCAACATAAAATAATGACCTTCCATATTTCTGCACAGCCTGTTTTGCAAGAATTATTTCCATTTACCATGCATTGAAATGGAATATATTCAAAAGAATGCTTTTTTATGTATTTTAACCTGATAACCACAGTCGAAAAGAACATTCGCCTCAGTCTAACTAAACAGCAATCATCAAAAAATAACATAATTGTCTTATAAAAACAACAGGTCATTTTCACTTGGGTAATCCAAGTCAGGTACATATTTCCAAAGCCACAGTATTGAAGAGATAAAACGTGACCGTAAAATAATACTGTATGCAATGTCTGGAAAGCTAGGACTATAGGATTCTATACCCATTCAAGATGGTAAAGATTTCAACCACAAACTAAATAATTAATGCTGTTTCTGCATCAGAAAACCAGAAGTGTAAAATCCCTTTTATGAAGAAGTCCAGCCAAGTGAATATAATGTTTTAGCTGGTCTGTTATGTTTTCAGTAATTTATTTTTTTATACCTCTAGGGAATTTCAGGGAAGAGATCTTCCCACCACTACATCCAACTACATCCAACCTCTGACAAGCAAAGTAAGGTCCTTTCAAGTGTCCAGTTGGAGAGTACCTGTGTGATTGACCTGGTCATGCTAGAATCCCTGAGACATACAAAATCAAATCAATAATGGATTCAACACACAACTGACCCTTTAAATGCTAACTAGCCCCCCACCCCAACCCAAAATGATTTAGGAAAGTGTTTTCGTTTTTTTACTTTACCAAAGCATTGTAGCTTGGTGGATTAATAAGTAGGCATAGTTTGATTTTTGACGCAAAGTCTGCTTTAACTTTTTTGCAAACTGAATATTTGGAATCTTAGTACTCTCTTTTCTATTAACACACTATTGCAGTGAAAATTCAGGCTAAATATTTACATGCACTATCTAAAATGCTGACTTTTGCCCAATAATCCATGTAAACAACTTATTTATTAAAAATGTTTACTCATAGAAAAATATCTTACTTAAATCCAAGCTGGCGACACACAACGTGCGTGTTCATGTCATTCCACCCGTCATCACATACCGTCCCCCACTGTGCCTTATGGAATACTTCCAGACGTCCTTCATGGCTACCTTTACCTCCTGCTAGTTTAATGGAACCATCTGCATGAAACATTTATAGGCAAAATTAATGGGACTCTGCATAACATCAAGAAAAAAACATACCCAGTGGAACTACATTCAAGTTGGCATCTTTCTAAAAATATGCAAACTAACATTAAAAATACCTCCATAAACATTAGATCAAAAGCTTCATCTGTTGTATATTAGCTTATCATTTCACAGAATGCAATTTAATATACTTTTGCTGTGCTTTAGTTGCAGATAGATAGATAGATAGATAGATAGATAGATAGATAGATAGATAGATAGATAGATAGATAGTTTTAATTTCAAACTATGCCTTAATTTTGGAATAGTACAAGGGCAATGTCCTCTGCATGCTCTGTTACAAGCAATAAATCCCACCTCATTATCTGTTGTTTTTCTACTTAATTCCACTTAAAGCACAACTGAAGTAAGAGAAACAGATATTCAGTTAGACAGACATCGTACTAGCAACCTCTACTTTAATAGTCTTACCTCCATTTTCCGGTTATATCAGTTCAGTGTATCCACATAAGAATACACAGTCCAATAGACACCAGAAGTTGACCACTCTGACCAATGCACTCTGAAATCTAACAGACCTGGTCAGACACACCCCCTCTGTTTCTTAGTGGTACAGGTCTGTGTGAGGGCACCTGTGATGAGGGGTGTGGCCATTACTCATCTAAGCCATAGAACATAAAGCACTGGAGTGGGGGCACAGAAAAAGGATTTTCACTAAAACAAAAAGTACTTTATAGCATTCCAAGTGAAAATCAGTTGGAAACTAATAATAAACAGTGGTATAGGGCTATAAAAAAAAGTAAAAGATGTGAGACTTCAATTGAACTTTAATTATATTATTTATAGCTTAATCATTTTAATTTATGTTAATGTTAGTAAAAATACAGTTAATGTACAATTACAGAAATGTTTTAAACACTTTTAAAATTACAGCAATTTCACTTTCCAACCAAAATGGGATACCTGCCAGTGGTGTACAGGAGACTCCAGCATCTTCATTGTGTCCACAATTGTGTTCACCCCATGTACTGAGCTGACAGTCCTCTATAGACAGCTCATTTCCTGTGCATTGTACTTCATCGAGTAGTATAGGACCCATGCCTTCTCCAAAATGAGCCTGGTTCCATGCCTTAGCAACACCCCTGTGGGTAAAACGAATACGGGTGAGTATGCACCAGACTGTATCACAATGTAGGTTCCATAGTATAAACTCTATTATATTGTATTATATAACTTTACATCCGGAACTGCACTTAGACATTCTGCTGCCCAATGCACATGTAAATGATTACAACTTTTTGTAAACTCTTGTAAACTCTGATGTACAAAGCATGTGCTACTGAGAATACAGCATTCTGTGTGTAGGACTACTTTTCTACTGTATAGACCATCCTTTCTCAACCAGGGTGCTGAGGCAAAGTGGGGTGCCTTCTGGCTTCCTCAGGGTTGCCTTGAAATGTTCATACAGCACCATGCCTCTGATGCATAAGAGGGGCTACTAGTGTGAGACGGGGTGTCTCTGATGTGAAAAGAGGGGGCATTCTAATGCCTATCAACACCTAGGGGGTTATTCACTAACGAGCCAAAGGATTAAGCAAAACCTTTAGCTAATCCTTCGGCTCGTTTCGGCTGAGGGAAGCCTTCGGTTCAGCCGAACCAAAGTTCTGCTGTATGGGCTATTCACAATAGCCTGTACAAAGGCCGCCAAAGAGCTCAGTCGTCCCAAACGCATATGCTTTGGCTCAGCTGAGCTGAACACACAGCCAAAGCTATGTAAAAAACATAAAGTAGAATCCACCTTCCAAACCATACCAGACCAGACCAGACCAGACCATTGAGGTCTGTTATGAATGTTAGGAGGGAACCCCTTCCTTCGGCGGCTTAGTGAATAACCAGTTTAAATTAGCAAGACAGTATAACCATACAGGTTATGGTGAGAAGGGACTAAAAGTAACAAGAATCTCTCCAAATAAATCAGTGCATAGCACAGTAAAGCCTTCTTACAACAGAAAGCATTCACATGTCTCATTCCTTCACATAACCCAAAAATAAGAGCTTTATTCCTCATTACAGTACAGCGGGTGGAGTCATGCAAATTATTCCCTAATGCCCCAGATACACATCTGGAAATGGCAGGGTCTGATGAGTAGAAGAGCCTGTGCCCTCTGCTAACAGCTGCAAAAGTGGGACCCTTGCTCTCTGTGGAGAAGCAAAGGTGCTTCCTGCTGATTGGGGAGCTTTGGCTCGGACTTTCGGGAATTTTCTTAACCTGTGAAGAGAGAGTACTGCTTCCCCAGACAGAGCAAGGATTCCACTCGGCAGCATGCTGGCAGGGGACAGGCTTCTCAACTCAGGATAAAGCATCTTTAGTAAGAAAGCAAACTGCAAGACATTGAACATCTTTTTTTTAAGCCGCTGGAATGTATTTAGCTAATTTAAAATGAAATTTGAATTGGGTTTTAAAGCATTCTCCTACTTTATTTTGGCCAGTGATTAATACAGACGTGTTTATACTTGAAGTTTTTATAAACTTTTACACAGCGCGTATCAGTATTAAATACATTCTAAATATAAAAAAGTATTCTTTAACCGAATTTAAAGTTTCTGGTTGCAAATTTAAAACACCTATATTATTAATACTCTTTTCCACCGTCATTCAGTGCTGGTCCTCTTCTGGTTTAATAGTGTCACTCAGTGTAATTTAACCCAGTGGGTTGTATCATCATATCAGTCTGAGCTTATTGTACAATGCTGCATCATAACTTCTGCAATGCCATTCTCTGCCCTTTGCCAATGCCAGAGGAAAAGAAGGAGAACCCTAGGGCAATACATGATTGGGAAAAAGGCAGCTGCGCAAAAGAAAAGTATCCTGGAAAAAATGTGGGGTTGTTTATGTGGTGCATGAAAGAGGAGAGGTTAAAGTACAGCTAGTTACTACATTCTACTCAGCTAGGGTAGAGAGGCAACACAATCAAGAGTTGTAGAACCATAGGCTACCAAGTTAGGCTAATGATTATTATTATTATACAGGATTTATATAGCAACAACAATTTTCGCAGCGCTTTACAATATAATGAATACATTACAATCACAATACAATTCAAGACAAGATGGTAAGAAGGGCCCTGCCCCTGAGGGCTTACAATCTAAAAGGGAGAGGCCAGTGATACATGAGGAGGTAGCTCTGTGGGCATGAATTGTTTGAGAATGTGATGGTTGAGTGGTTAGTTTGAGGTGGGATAGGCTTCCCTGAAAAGATGAGTCTTAAGGGATCGCCTAAAGGCAGTCAGAGTGGGAGATAGTCGGACAGGTTGGGGGTAAAGAGTTCCATAGGATGAGAGAGACTCTAGTGAAGTCCTGGAAGCGAGTATTCGGAGGAGTTGATGAGGAAGCTGGAAAGCAGAAGGCCTTTGGAAGAGCGGAGGGGACGGTTAGGGTGATACTTTGAGACCAGGTTTGAGATATAGCCAGGGCAGAGTTGTGGATGGCTTTGTAAGTGGTTGTTAATATTTTGAATTGTATCCTTTGGGCGAGTGGATGCCAGTGGAGGAATTGACAAAGGGGGGTTGCAGACACTGAGCAGTTGGTTAGGTGAATGAGTCTAGCAGCAGCATTCATGGTAGACTGAAGGAGGGATAGCATGTATAGAGGTAAGCCAATGAGGAGGGAGTTACGATAGTCAAGATGAGAGATAACAAGGGAGTGGAATAGTTTTGTGGTTTCATTGGTGAAGAAGGGGCGTATTTTGGAGATGTTATGAAGGTGAAGGAGGCAGGATTTGGATAGTGATTGGATGTGGGGAAAAAAAGGTGAGGTCCGAGTCAAGGATGACACCTAGGACCTTGGCATGAGGGCAGGGATGGGTAGTTGTGTTAACACTCTCAAGGGAAAAGTTGGTGGAAGGTGCAGGGGCGGGAGGAAATATCTTGAGCTCAGTTTTTGAAAGGTTGAGGTTTAAGAAGTGTTGTGACATCCAGAAAGTTGTGGAGTAGAAAGATATATTTGAGCGTCATCAGCATAGAGATGGTATTGGAAGCCATGTGAGGTTATTAACTTACCAAGGGAGGAGGTGTAGATAGAAGAGAACGGGTCCAAGGACAGATGTAAACCCTATAACATGTCAGCGGTTGTTCTTTGTATAGATGCATGTGGAATAAACTTTGAATTTCTTTGGAAGATCATCGTGTGCTGGTTCTACAGTTTTTGAGCCTATCACTCCAGAAGAGAGTCATCCATGCACTGAATGTGGATTACACGGACGCATGATAGGGGTGAGCTGTGTGCTTTGTGTTTCAAATATTTTTGTTTGTGTTCCTGGGTCTGCACACCTGCTGTGTCCGTGATCTCGGCCCATGTCCGGACCACTGTCTGTCATTTAGTGACGCCCGCTATAGAGTGTCACTTTGGCGACATCTACATCTGTTGGGCTTGCTGGCATCACACCAGATGATGGCACTCAGCAGCAGTCTGAGGGCTTTTGGATGTCTAAACAAGGGGAAGTAATATGCATGAAATGTGTTTCACTGAAATAAAACCTGGTGATCCTGCCATGAAGGTGCTTGTATAGAGTAACAATGCTCTGCCCGTCTGTCAGTTGTTCTTCTGTGTTGTCAACCTAGGTGACTGTTTCAACACAATAGGCAGGAATGTTCCTCTGCTGTCATCATCGGGAAACCCACCCTGTGAATTTCCATGCAGCCATCACTAAAGTGCATGCGTGTAGGTAGGAAGTGGCTGCAAACATGCTGCAGGAGATGAGCAGCACTGAGATAACAACAGGGAATGAAAGCAAAAAGTGAACACAAGTGTTGTATTTTTGTTGTTTATGATACATAATACATTTACAAACTAATAGGGTTATTCAGGAAGGAGCCGGAGGATTAAACCATAGCATCGACTAATCCTTCGGCTCATTCCGGCCACCGGAACCCTCCGGCTCAGCCAAACCGAGGGGCTGCTGTACGATTTATTCACAATAGCAAAGCCAAATGCAAATGCTGCGAGCCAAAGTCACAGCCGAAGCGAGGAGAACGGTCTGCCGTAGCATACCGTTCTCCCCGCAAAAGTAAACAACTGGGCAGAGCCAGTCGTGATTTCAAGGCTGGCACCGCCCAGTTGTTATCATTCAATGACAGCCCAGCGTCCGCAGCTCATTTAAAGATACTGGACTGTCATTAAATGACAACAACTGGGGGGAGCCAGCCATGGCATCACGGCTGGCTTCCCCCAGTTGTTTTTATTTGGCTGACCCATATGATGGGTGCCGGCCAAATCAAAACAAATAGGCGGAGCCCGGTATGATGTCACCGCTAGCTCCGCCCATTTGTTTAATTTTGTCACTTTGCCGCATGTTCGGCGGGTGCGGACGGGTTGGCGGACTTTGCGCTTTTTTTCATTTCGGCTAGGTCATTGACAACGCTGGATGCTGTGATTGACGTAGATTACTTAGTTCGATTAATTTTTTTTTATTTTTTGGTTTTTACTTTTTTTTTCAATTAAAGGAATTTTGTGGGTTTTTTTCTAAATTTTTATTTAACCCTTTAGTGAATGAGTAGGGGTACAAGTACCCCTTACTCATTCACAAGGGGGGGCAGCATCTGGGTGTGGTACCCTGATGCAAATAAGCACCTTTGCCTGCAGAACCCCACAACCAACGTCCCAGGGCCAAGGTGATTTTCCAGGGATGACCCTAGAAAAGCACCCTTCCAATGCCAAGGGCATGTGGCCTGGTATAGCAGGGAGGGGGGCACTCCCCCCCCTTTCCTGCCCTGCCAGGCCTGTGCTTGGATTAAGGGTCTGGTCAGGAATTGTGTTGGGGGTTGGGTTCCTCCTTAAAATTCCTACCAGACCTAAAGGGCCTGGTAGGACTTTGGGAGGGAACCCCACGCATTTTTTTTAACTTGGGACCCCTCCTAACATTCCTACCAGACCCAAAATGGTCTGGTATGTTTTTTTTTCTTTTATTAACATATAATTTCTTTATTCTGGTCGCTACCTCGGAGGTAGTGAGCAGAATAACTGAGCGGAATGCTGTTCAGCTGTATTGCTGAAATCCGCTGTATAGGTCCAAAGTGAATAGCCAAACAACGTTCGGCTCACTTCACTTTGGCTCAGTTATTTACTCGGCTGCCTCTGGCAGCTT